AAGACTGGGAGAGTTTTAAGGTCATTCTACAGTAGATTGTGAGAATTACTAACATACAAAATTATATGTAACACATATTCCTAAATCAGTACAAGTATGACAAACCTGTATTTTCTTTGTGCAAAGATGTTATAATTCCTAGGTTTATACCTGGATTCTACAACTCACGTTTTTTAGAATCTACCAAATAGTCCAGTTTGTTTTCCTGTTAAGAATTAGAATTAAATATTTACTGCCAAGTCTCTAAGGTTCTCCTAAGATTCCACTCCCACTGCCCCTTCGTTTCATCCTAAAGTTTGATAATCCTTGTTCCAACAGCAAATCTCTTCCTCAAGAACAGAAGCCATTTGAAGTTAAACCAGGACCATTTGTGAGAAGTAGATTCAAAAGACCAAAACCAAACTTAGCAAGAGCAGCTTCAAAGAGAGAGACTACAGAAGCAGAAAAATATGCACCTGGGAAGAAAGTTGAAGCTGATAAAACAGAGACTGTTGTGATACAGCAGAAAAGTGAACAAACGCATATTCTCCCTTCTCAACATGTGAGTTTAAGATCGAGAATATTTGTTTTAGTTATTATAGTTACTAAAATAAACACTTGGAATTGAAATAATGCAAATATTTTCTCATATAATTTTTACTGTGTGTGATATTTTTATTGCTGTACTTAATGTGCCTCATTGTTCCACATGGTTTGTGTGAGAACCTTGATCTCTGATGATGGGCAAGTGTGTCATGGGAAAGATTTTAAGAGGCCTGGGCTCAAGTTCAAGTTCTGACCTTTATTCAATAGTTGACCATAGCCAAGTGATGCAACCAGTTTCTTCACTGGAAAATGAGAATGATAGTCCGTCTTTATTTCACTCTGTTGTGAAGGCAAAAAGTTAAAAGCTTGATATGAGTTAAAGGAAATTATTTTACTTACATTAACTTGATCTATAACAGATTAAGATGTGTGATACAGCATCAGAAACCTCGAAATGAAACGTTAATGCTCATAAGTTGAGTATTCTAAACTTGAGATGTATTTTTTGAATTAAAATTCTTCTTTTACATCTTAGCTTAGTTCTTACTATGCTTGAACATTTGTACTTTTTCCTCTTAATCTTATATTTAAAGAAGATAAATAACTTTTTATTGATTATTTTAACTGATTATAAAAATTTCAAATTGCAAAAAATAAGTCATCTAAAAAATGAGAGTCCTTTATAATGGCCCATCTCTCCCTCCCAGGTTGATCCTGTAGCAGTTTTACATATATCTGTCTAACCTTTTCTGTACAGATACTTATTTATAGAAACAGTGTGCAGGTATTTTCATTGCTTTACAAAAATGGCATCATAGCTTGCCTTCTGATTTTTTTCACTTAATACAATATTGTGAACATTTTTTTGGATCAATATATAGAAATTAATCTTTTAAATGACTGTACTGTTAAGAGTACAGATACTATAATTTATTCAGTTCCCTACTGATTGGTCTTGTTTTCAATTTTTTGTTTTTCTTTTCTTTTTCTTTAAGTTTTTGGGGGGGCCTATTGCTATAATAAATATCCTTATATATAATTTTCTAGATATTTATTTGAGTGTTTTTGTGATATATTTCTAGAAGTAGAATTGCTGGGAATTAAAATTTTTGATAGATACTGCCCTGTTGTCTCTACAAAGACTATATTTATTCTTCTAACAATTTATTAAAGTTCCTATTCCCTTATACTTTAAATAACTTGATGAATTTTTTTTTTATCTGCCTTCTAGGATGTGGCTTCCCTAATGACATCAAGAGAAAGTGACGAATCAGTTTGCAGGCAGGAGGAAGCTGTGATACTACCATGTCTACAGACTGAAAAGGACTTTTCACCTTCAAGTTCTTGTGAACGTAAAGAGGAATCTCAGTCTACACACGCCCAGGAAAAGAAATTAGTTATCTCCATGGGGTAAACAGTGGTAGTTTTTTAAAAATCTTAAATAAGGAAATTCTTTCAAATATTTCTTCATTTTTGAAAAAAATGTGTTAACATATTTTAAAAGTGAGTATCAAGAATACTTGGTTTACTTTTATTCCTATGGCAGACTGCCTAAAATAGAAAATCAGATTGATTTTAATACTTGCCTGCTTATGTCCAATGTTAACTGCTTAAGATCTTATACAGAACAATATATTTAAGCATATATGTATGTAAGGTATGTATTCATTACCTTTGAAAAATTATAGTAAGATATGTAAAACATAAAATTTACCATTTAAACCATTTTTAAGTGTACAGTCCCATGGCATTAAGTACATACACATTGTTGTGCACAATCCACCAACCATCTCTAGAACATTTTTATCTTCCCAAACTGAAACTCTGTATTCATTAAACAATAATTTCCCATTCTCCTCTTCCTCCAGTCCCTGGCAGCCACCATTGTGCTTTCTCTTGCTATGAATTTGAACATGTAGGTGCCTCATATAAGTTCATTACCTTTTGAGAATGGAAATAACTTTTTTAATGTAAGATAGACTTATAATCAGAAAGTAACTTAATTTTCCTTTAATGTGCAAAATATTTTTACATAGAGTTTATTAGATTCAAATTTTATATTTTTACAGTAGTTTTCATTTTTTTACAGTCAAGCTTTCTCTCTTTCTTCCTGTCCCCTTTTCTAGGACTCAGAATAAAAACACTTTCCAACAAGAAATGAAGGAAAGTGTTATCCAAACTGCTCGACCAGTAAGGGGCCGACTTCAGAGACCAAGACCAAACTTAAGAAAGGTTGGACAGAAGCAAATAATAGAAAAATGTGAAGCCAAAGACACAATTAAAGAAGAAAGAACATTACAAAAAGATGAAACTAAAAAGAAATTTCTAACTCTGGTGAGTTACTGCTGTGTAATTAAATCAAGCCTTTAAATGCAAATTAAAATATCAAATGGTAGCTCAGACTTGACTTAGAATATAGGCATCTAATATTTACTCAATGAGTACATAACATGTCCAGTTTTGTTTCAGATTTACCATTGTGGATTTTTTCTTTTTAATGAAGATAGACTGTTTTTCTCCCCCTAACTAATGAACTGACTATTCATTGTGAAAATGTTCAGTCAATTCAAAATAATATAATAACTATCCCGAGTCTCATCACTCTGAGATAACTACTGAGAAATTTTTGACATATCCTACTGGATACATCTCCATGCATGTATGTGTGTGTACCTGTGTAAATTTAAATAATAAAATCATTGTATACATATTACTTTATGATTTAACTGTTTTTAACTTATTATATTAAGAGGCTTTCCACGTAAAGAAGTATTTTTGGAGTTACATCATTTTTAACTGCTACATAACATTCTGCTGTTCTGAATGACAGTTTAACCAATCTCTTATTGATGAATCTTTTGATATTAGAAGCAAATCTAAGTAGTTTAATGCCTGTTTTAACAGCTCTTATTTTTCTCTCTTTCTTTACCAAGGGAAAATCTATATTTAAATTAAAATGATTGTAATCTTTATTTGAAATCCTCCTCCCAAGTATTCTTTTTAAAAAAAAAACGCATTGAACTTTTTTTTTTTAACATTTTTTATTGATTTATAACCATTTTACAGTGTTGTGTCAAATTCCAGTGTTCAGCACAATTTTTCAGTCATTCATGGACATATACACACTCATTGTCACATTTTTTTCTCTGTGATTTATCATAACATTTTGTGTATATTTCCCTGTGCTATACAGTGTAATCTTGTTTATCCGTTCTACAAGCATTGAACTTTTTTGAGGGGATTCACAACAGATAGCTGTTACAGTTTTTAAATCATTATAAAAACATATTGCTGCAATAATCTTTGAAACTTTCTCTCTGAATTAGGCAATTTTGTTTTGGGCAGCAAAACTTGAACATTACATAACTCAAATTTGAGACTTCATTTTAAAAAAACTAAATACCTTTCTTAATGATTGATATATTTTAAGAGGTATGTTCCATTGTAAAAAACAAAACAAAACAAAACAAAACAAAACAAAACAAAAAGACTAATATAGGTTTGTCGTTTCAGCCAAATTCTCAAATTGCAACTGAAATTGAAATTTTATCCTCCGAAGTTTCAGAAGGCAGAATGTATGAAAACCAGAGTCACGTGGTTCCTTTAGAAAACCTTCCTGTTGACAGAATAAAAGTTTTAGATGAAAAGATGAGGTGAGTTTGCTTTTTTTTTTTTTTAACATTTTTTATTGATTTATAATCATTTTACAATGTTGTGTCAAATTCCAGTGTTCAGCACAATTTTTCAGTCATTCATGGACATATACACACTCATTGTCAGAGGTGAGTTTGTTTGCTTTTAATAAGAAAAGTATAAAACTTTTCAAAGATAAAGTTTGGATATTTGAATAATTGATTTTATATAATTTCACATTTAATAAGTTTTATGAAAGGATAAAATATGAATGTGGAATATTTTAAATCTGTTTCTTCTTATACTGTAATAATTGCATGACTGATATTCTCTTTTTTTTCCCTCTTTTCCAGTTTTATTAGGTAGAATTACTACAGTTCGACTGTTCATACAGATTATATTGCATGTAAATTCATATATACAGTATACTGCACTTTTTTTAGTTTACATATATGTACTAACTATTGTTTCTAATAACTGATTAGATCTTTAGCTTTTTAAACTTACATAGTTATCGAAGGAATAAAGCCAACTACAAAATAAGAATCAACAGAATACGGTAATCTAATCATAAAGGGCAGTCAAATGTGCTTACAGGTACTCAAGAAATCAAAATAATAATTAGTTCATTTGTGTCATTATTATTATTGTTATAATTTTTTGACTGATGTTCTCTTAATTTATAATTTCTCTGAGAAGTTTGGCAAGCATCCTCATTATTCTTTTAAAACTAGTATAGTAGAGCTTCTTAAGTTCTTTGTATCTTTAGAAATGTATAACCTATTGATAAAATTCATAAATGGAAAGTGATGTAAAGTACTTCCTATGTGCTGTATTTTAGAGTTGTGTCCCATGCTAAATTGTAAGAATAGTATCTTTTAAATGGGACGCTGGAAGCTTGAAGATATTTTAGCACAACTTTTATTTATTAAGCTTACAATCTGCTTTATTATTACTGATACTAAATTAGAATGTGTTAGTTTCTTCTTTTTAGTGTGTAAGGAAAATTTTAAAAATCTTTCCCTTTCTGGATACAGTCTGTGGTCCATCTAATTTTAATTTACTACACTGTCTTTGTAACTAGGACATGTTTCAGTGAAGTATTTATTGATTTTCCTCTAGAATGTCTTTAGCATTTACAAGTTGACTTTGAATATTCCACCTTCCTTTAATTACATAGAATTAATTTGGTTGTGGGGAAATGCAAAAGAGATGTTAATTGTATCCTTTTTTCATCCTCTGTGAATAGAATTTGGGCATTATGTCATCTATCTGAACAAGTGGTGCTATTGATTTTGCATAACTTTAAACAGTCTGCGTTTATTTATGAAGTTTATTATTTTAGCATGAACTTCTGTTGTTTCTTTTGTTTCCCTTTGTGTATGTATAGGTGTCTTGAAAAAGTCTTTTCATATTGTTTTTATTTTAAGACAAATATCAGTCTTTAAATTTAATTTTAATTAGCAGAGAGATCAGAGAATGCTTCCTTGAAAGGGTCTCATTGGAGAGAATACCTAAAAGAAGTGAAGGAGCAAGTCAAGGGATGTCTAGGGGAAGAGGGAACAGCAGCTGAAAAGGACTTAAGGCAAAAGCATGTCTGGCATGTTTGAGGAACAGCAGAGGGGACCAGTGTGAAACAGAAAGAGGAAAAGTGTTGATACATGAAAAGAAAAGGCTGAGTAGGCAGAAGTGCAGATTATGTAGCACCATTGTAAGGATTTTGATTTTTACTCTAAACGAGCCTTTAAGACTGATGACCTTTGAGGTCAGCCTTTCTAAGGCCCTCATTTATAATTGTCTAAATAGATCTAGGGGACATAAATAGCTTGCTCAAAGTAACATTGGCAATTTAGCTTTTAAACTGAAATTTTCAGGATTTTACGACTTTCAGACTAGCAAATTCTTACAGTTGTTCCAAGCAATTTTATTTTTTAATAAGCGAGATTTAACTTTCAAGATTTCCTATATAGAAACCTCAGTAGTACATTGAGCTTATATATATATATATAGTATTATTTTATTCTTTTTTTTAATATAGTATTCTTTTCCATTTTTTTAATTTTTTATTTTTTGGGAGGGGGTCCCTGCTTTTTTTTAAAATTTTATTTATTTAATGAGGGTACTGGGGATTGAACCCAGGAGCTTGTGCATGCTAAGCATGCACTCTACCACCCAGTATGTTTTATTCTTAAGTACCTTTGTAGAATCACACTTGTTTGTAAGTAGCTTATATTGAAGTTAAATATAACTTGTTTTCCCAAGTACATTAGCCTACACTGGAATGTATTAACCAGCATCATCACCTTGTTATAACTTCCTGTGAACTTCCTTGATGTTTCACTCTGGAAGAACTTAGCGGGGTTGAAACATTTGGAAATGTAACTAATTACATTCTCTTCTAGGTAATTTATTAGAAAAATTACTTATGATTAGTCTTTAACACAAATCTTTCAGAGAACTCATGATAGATACTTACATACTCAGTTATATATAAATATCTAGATTTATATTAGTTTTAAACTTCCTAATTCAGATCCTTGCCAGTTACTCAGTATTTCCCAGAAAACCTTGAGACAGCTGCTTGAGTTGCCTTGGGAGCTATGGCTACTGTATTGAATGTTAAAACCTTGTTTTTCTCTGATTTTGCAGATACAAATGGGTTATGTTGAGATCTTTATGACACGGGCTGTCGGTATACCCTTTTCTATGAGCTGACAGGCATGTGGTGGGAGAATAGACTCTGGCTTTCAAGCCTGCTCTTGAACCAGAAGGACCAAGGTTGTTGTGACCATTGTATATTTGTTCACGCTTCAGAGCCCAGTTGAAGGCATTTGTTTAAAGTGCCATTATGAGGTCTATCTTCAACTGCATTTTTGTTTTGTATCTAGTTATTTATCTAAAATGTACTCAAAGTAGCAAACCACACATCAAAATCAATGAGTGAAAGAAAAAAGATTAATATTATTGTGAAACTATTCCCCAGGCTATATAGAAAAGGGAAGTTATAAACGCTTTTATGTTCTTTCTTTCATATCAGCATGTGTGGTTTCATTTTATATGCTTAGTTTTATTACCTATCTATATATAGTCCTTTGAACATAGAATTGGTTTGTGCCCAGAATTGTTTAACAAGTTATATCAACAGGAATTCTGATTTTGGTTCTTCAACATGATTTGTATTTCATTCTAGACATGAACATAAAACATGTGTTCCTAGTCCACCACAAATGATAAGAAGGCAATTCCAAAAGGCTAAGCCAAATTTGGGAAGAGCACATGGTAAGAAAGAGGAACCAGGCATAGAAAAAGACAGAGAAGATCAGATTCAGGCAAGAAAGCCAGAAGATAATTTGCTGCAGCATAGAGAATCTGACACACATCTCCTTCAAAAAGTAAGTTAGAAAAAAAGTAATTTCTCCTTTTTTTTGGAAGAGGGGAGTTGTTTGGCTTTTTGTTTGTTTTTTAATGGTGGTACTGTGGATTGAACCCAGGACCTCATGCATGCTGAGCATGAGCTCTACCACTGAGCTATACCCACCCCCCAACTTAAAAAAAAATTTTAATTCAATTAATTTTTTAAAAAATTAAAAAAATAACAGAGGTACTGGAGCTTAAACCCAGGACCTCGCGTATGCTTTGCATGCACTCTACCACTGAGCTACACCCTTACCCCTGACAAAAAGTAATTTCTGTCAGTGCGCTCTGTTTATCAGTATCATAAAGGAGAACATTAAAAAAATACAGTTTTGCCATTTGTACAATAACTACTTTCATGAAAATTGATTGACTTCCCAATATTATAAAAATTTAGAAACCAGTCAGTTGTGTATATGTATGTAAGCTCAGAGCTTTAGGCCAAGCTACCAAACCAAATTACCATACAGATTGTTTCCATGGTAATATTAGCTGTTTCTTCTTAAATTTAAGGAAAAGGCTGAATTTCTGACATCTCTGGAGGTTTCAGCAAGAAAAGATTGTGTAGGTTCCAAGGAGACTGGTTTGGCAAAAAAAGATGCTCAATCAGAAGTTGGACCATCAGGAAGTGTTGCAAAAAAAACTGTAGGGGATAATTCTGTGTGTTCAGTTGTTGAAGAGCAGTGTTTCAGTAAACCAACAAGGTAAAGTTTTACTTACCAAATACTTTCAGAATAGGAAATAAAAATAACTTGTTCTTTATGGATGTCCTACTCTAACTTATTGATGGAGTAAAAAGCTGGTTTGTTAACAGAAGTGTAGATTTTTTTAAATTGACACATCTGTTTCTTTCCCAGATTTTTGATTTTTATTTACTAAAATTTACATTTTTCCCTAATCTTCTCAGGAAGATTCTTCTTTCCTATGTTTTAAATTTCTGGGTGTTGAGTATATTAGACATGAACAGAAGTCTGACCAAAAAGTAGTATGTATTGCCTAAGTAACTAGGGCACTATTTCGAATGGAGTTGCAAACACAGGTGAAGGGTACTCTTTTACTAAACAGTTTTCAGGGAAAGTGGAAGGGAGCCTAAGTGCTAAAAAACATTGTTCTAATAGATTTCCCACTTCTTTTTTCTTTTAACCTGATTGGTTTACCCAATAGGATAAACTGCTATCACTTTTTGATCTCATATTCTGAACTCACTGGTCCAGTGTTCTTTATCGCTTTTTCTTCTAATAATTTCCAGTCTCATATTTCATCGCCATTTAAATAGCAAGGGAAAAAATGGCCCAGAGTTGAAAACTTAGAAAAATTTGTAAGTAGATAACTAAGACCTCTGAATGAAAAACAATAGTATTAACAGTAAATTCCTTTCTTCTTTTCACAGCATAAGTTTTTGACATTATGGGTGGTGGGCATTTTATATTTATGTTTTGAATTGGGATCTCACTCTAAAAGTTGGGTTTTCATTAAAATTATCCTTGTGCATGTAATGATTATATTATTATTTTGATTAAACATCCAGCTGTCCACAGCAGTTCAAAGAATCAAATTACTCTAAAATTGCTTCAAATCGAAGAACAGCTCTCTCTTCTGCCTCTGAATGTGAGATAGAGCGTAGTGAAAGGAGAGTGCGTCGAAAAATGAAACCAAATGTCCCCAAAGGGCGTGGGTCAAAACGAATTTGGAGTAAGACCTCTAAGAAGGAACCTAGAGCTTCCAAGGCTGTGCTGGTGACTCTTCGGGCTTCCCAGGAAGAAGACGAAGATGATGCTGAAGACTTTGAGTCTGACTATGAAGAAGAAAACTATCATCTTGCTCCAGAAGAATTAAACAAAGCTCCAGTGTTTGTTCCTGTTGGTCTCAGATCTCCTGAACCTGTTTCTGCTCAAATTGAGGAAACCATGGAAGAGGTAGTGTGAGTTTTGAATCCTTAGAACTTTTATCGTATTTGTTCTTTTCTTTTAGGGGATTGTTATTTCTTCTCTTAGTGATTATTAGGATTTGAATATTATTAAAGTGATTTGATTGAGGCTTGATGGATAGCCTAAGGAATCAGTAGAAGTAGGCTTGTGTTATCTCTTGTGTTTCCTCAGCTCCTACAGCCCAGGGCCCAGCACAAGGTGTTCATAACAATACTGATAGAAATCTGATTTCACTTGTATCTGGAGGCTGCTTAGTCTACTTTCTGGTTAATTTAAAAAAAAATGCACACACACACAACTTGGCAGATGTTTTCTATTAATAATAGCCTTTGTGATAGGCTCAGGCTGAGTGAGCTCTGGTTGGTAGATAAGGTAAAGGAACGTATTTCTTTTTTTTTTAATGTATTACTTTAAAATTATGACATCATTTTAAGTGATACAAATGAATTATGATACAAATGTCCTTTACAGCTGAGGCTGGATCTTTTTTTTTTTTAATTGTGGTAAAATATATATAACATAAAATTTACCATCTTAGCTATTTTTAAGCACGCAGTTCAGTGGCATTAAGTGCATCTATCTATAGAACTTTTTCCATCTTAGAAACTAAAACTCTGTATCTGTTAAATAATAATTCCACATTATTCCCTCCTCTCTAGCCTATGGCAGCCACTTACTCTAGGTACCTCATATAAGTAGAATCATACAGTATTTGTCTTTTTTGTAACTGGCTTGTTTCACTTAGCATAATGTTTTCAAAGTTCATATATATTGTAGCATATGTCAGGATGTTCTTTTTAAAGGCCAAATAGTATTCCATTCTGTATATATAGTACCACTTTTTATTTATTCATCTGTCATTGGACAGTTGAATTGCTTCTGCCTTTTGGCTATTAGAATGCTGCTATGAACATGGATGTACAAATATCTCTTCTAATCCCTGCTGTCTGTCAGTTGTAGAAGTGGTATTGCTGGGTCATATGGTAAATTGTAAATCTATTTTTAATTTTTTGAGCAACTACCATGCTGTTTTCCATAGCAGCTGCATCATTTTACATTCTCATCAATAGTGTACAAGGATTCTGATTTTTCCACAACCTCACCAACACTTGTTTTTTCTGTTTTCTGTTTTTTTTGTTAAGAGCCATCCTAATGGATATGAAGTAGAGGACCGTATTATATTACTTCAACTTACTTTATTGTGAAAGCTCCTTACTCTTTTGCCTCTTGGTCTAGTTTTCTAGCTTTTTAACTTCAAAGTTCTCTGTTCTGCCTCCGTTTTCAGTAACTTAATTGGCTGATAGAGTTATATCTGCATCTGTTTTGTATTCATGATAGTATCTGTCTGAATCATTTGAAACAGAATCAGAAAGAAGTAAGAAATATGAAACATTTCAAGTAATATTAAGTTAACCCAGAATTAATGGATTGTAGAGTCTGTAAGTTCACATTTATGAATGGAATTCCAAACCTATATTTATTTATTGTTAATAATATACTGGATGTTATACAGTTAAGTTGGAATGGTTGAAGCTAAATTATAGTGACACAAAATGAGGTTGTTTCTTATAATTAAAATTTAAAGTAAAGATAGTGAATTTAAATTTTAGTTGAAACCAAAAGAATGTAAAAGGACAGTTAATTTTGTTCAAGGACAGCTGATTACTACATGAAAATTAATTTAGTTATGTATTTTGTATTTTAAAAATTTCTTTGGATAAAAGGCAGACTGCTAGGAAAAACAAATGTCAGAAATTAAGTTCTGAAAATCAGGTTCCAGGATGTATCCCTGAATTAATACCAAATGCTTTCTTAAATAGCATTAATCATAATAATTGAGCAAGGAAAGGTTAAATTATATTCCTAATAGCCAATTTACTAAGGCAGGGAAATTTGTTTATATGTTAGGAAATGTTCGTTTAAAAAGCATTGAAATACAATGGCATATTGTTAAATCATCCAGGGGTCTAAAATATTGATATATACTTCACTATGAACCTTGAAACCTTGAAAACATTATGCTAAGTGAAAGAAACCAAAAAATCACTAGTATGTGATTCCATTCATATGAAATGTCTAAAATAGGAAAATCTATAGAGGCAGAAAGTACATTAGTGGTTGCTTAGGAATTTGGAGATGAGGGATTAAAGAAGTGGGTATGGGGTTTCTTTTCTGAAGTGATGAAAATGTTATAAAAGTAACTGTGGTGATGGTTGTGTATATCTGTGCTTATTCCAAAAAACATTGAGTTATACAATTTTAATGGATGAATTGTATGGGATGTAAATTAAATCTCGATACAAGTTTAAAAAATTAAAGCTTTGAAGCTGTGTAGTACTTACAGAACCACCTTTCAATTACCTAGAATATTCCCATTATCCACCTAATCCCAGCTTTTCAGAAAATATTTTGTCTTTTTAAATCATTTAAACGTTTAAATTCATCCCAGGCTTATAGGATATTAGCAGAGCTTTTTCTCTAATTGCATCTGAGAAAACAGACACAGAACAGGAGGGTATAACTCAACGGTAGAATGCGTGCTTAGCATGTACAAGGTCCTGGGTTCAATCCCCAGTACCTCCGTCAAAATAAGTAAATAAATAAAACCTAATTACATGCCCCCTCTCCCCCAAAAGAGATAAAATAGGCACAGAGCACAGAGGTGTTACTATAATAAATGTCTCAAAGATGGATTTTCAAACTTTACTCAGCTACTACTGAATCACAGTCTTTTATACTTAGTTGTCTCTGTTAGGAAGGGAATAGGAGCCACACTGCCTTGTTTATAATCGAGGAGATTATCTTTTAATTGTGTATAAATATGAATTATTTCTTCAGTTTAATATTTCAGTTTATGATTGGTTTTTGTTTTGCTCTGGTATTATGCCAAAGTGAAATAATGAAACTTTTTGTTTTGACAGCTTGAAATAACCGTGAATGTCCCAGATGTAGCATGCATAGCTGTTGTTGAACATCAGCTTTCAAACACAGATGTGACTACTCAGGAAATGAAACAAGAAGAAAATGTGAATGCATTATCAGTTGTAAGCATCCATTTTAATATGTTTTGTCTTCAATTTTTTGTTTATGTTCAAAAGACTTAAAGTTTATTTTGAAAGCTTTAGGTTTACAAGCAGCTCATAGCTAGTATGATAAATTTCTAGAAGCTGTAAGTATGAATAGTAGAAATTAGTGAACAACCCATAGATTTTATATTTGACTTGAAAAGCATAGATTTTTTTTGCGTGTCAGGATAGCTGTTAATATCCTCATAGACTTATGTTAAAATTCTGATGCACTAAATATATACTAAATATAAATTACTTAAAATATATTTAGTTGCATTCTGTTTGGGACTCTTCCTTATTTGGTTGGTATTTACTTTGATTTTATAAATGAAGACTTATAATTTCTTAAACAACTTTATTAAGATACAGTTCACATACCATTCACTTCAACCACTTAAAGTGTATAATTCAGTGTTTTTTAGTATTTTTTACAGACATATGCAAACATCAGAGTCAATTCTAGTACATTTTTATCACCTCAGAAAGAAATCTTATGCCCATTGGTAGTTGCAGTTCCTTCCAACTTTCTCAGGTCTAGACAACCAGTGATCAACTTTCTATCTCTATAGATTTGTCTCAACTGGACATTTATGTGCAGTATGGTCTTTTATGTCTGGTTTCTTTCACTTAGTCTAGTGTTTTCAAGGTTCATTCATGTGGTAGCATGTGTCAGTATTTCATTCCTTTTTGTGGTCAAGTCAAATAATATGCCATGTACTACATTTTGTTCATTGATCTTTTCATGGACATTTAGGTTGTTTCCATCTTTTGACCATTATAAATAATACTGCTGTAAATATTCGTGTACAAGTTTCTTTATGGACATATGTTTTCATTTCTCTTGGGTACATTCCTAGGAGTGAATTGCTGTGTCATATGGTAACACTATGTTTAATCATATGAGGAACTAGCAAACTGTTTTCCAAAGCTGCTGCACCATTTTATATTCCCACCAGCAGTGTATGAGGGTTCTAATTTCTTCACATCCTTACCAACATGTGTTATTTGACTTCTTGGATCTAGCCATCCTAGTATGTATGGCTCACTATGGTACCTTACTATGGTTTTAATTTGCATTACTAATGAATAGTGATGTTGACCATCTTTTCTTGTGCTTTTATTGGCCATTTTTATATCACCTTTGGAAAAAAGCCTCTTCAGAGCCTTAGCCCATTTAAAAAAAATGCGATCTATTTGTCTATTTTTTATTACGTTGGAAGAATTTTTTATATATTCTGGATACAAGTTTGGAATCAGATATATGATCTTCAGATGTTTTCTTTCATTCTGTGAGTTGTCTTTTCACTTTCTTGATTTCATTTAGAGCACAAAGTAGGTAAATTGGACTTCATTTATTTTTTTCTTTTGTTGCTCATGCTTTTGTTGTCATATCTAAGAATTCCTTCCCAAAGCTAAGTCCTGAAGATTTACTCCTGTTTTACATTTGCCTCTATTCCATTTTGAGTAAATTTTTTTGTATGGTGTAAGGTTAGAGTCCTTCTTCATTCTTTTGCATATGACTATCCAGTTGTTGCACCATTTCTTTGAAAAAACTATTCTTTCCCTATTGAATGGTCTTGTATTCTTGTTGAAAATTAGTTAGCTGTAGATGTTTGGACTCTCTTCTCGATTTATTTGTCTATCTTTATGCTGGTGAGGCTCTGTTGATTACTGTTACTTTGTAATAAGTTTTGGAATTGGGAAGTGTAAGTCATCCTGCCTTATTCTGTTTTCAAGATTGTTTTGGCTATCGTGGGTCCCTTGCAATTCATATGAATTTTAGAATCAGCTTGTCAGTTTTTACAGAGAAGACATCAGCTTTAATTCTGGTTGGGATGCATTGAATCTGTAGATCAGTTAGAGGAGCAGGTGTTGCTATCTTAACAGTGTTGTCTTCTAGTCCATGAACATACTTCCATTTACTTAGCTCTTCTTTGATTTCTTTCAGCAATGTTTTGTAGTTTTCAGAGTTTGAGCTTTGCACTTTCTTATCTTCATTTTCAAGTATGTTGTTATCTTTGATGCTGTTGCGAATGGAGTTGGTCCTTAATTTGGTTTTTGAATTGTTTATTGCAAGTGTATGAAAATACAGCTGGTTTTTGTATATTGGCCTTGTATTCTACTACTTGGCTGAGTTCAATTATTAATTCTAATAGTTTTTAGTGGAATCCTTAGGATTTTTTTCTACATACAAGATCATGGCATACATGAGTAGTTTTTCATCTATTTTTCTTCCCCAGGGCTGCTGTAACAAAGTACCATGAACTGGGTAGCTTAAAACCACAGAAAGTTATTCTCTCATAGTCCTAGAGGCTAGAATTCCAAAATGAAAGTGCTTCTGCTGCTGGTTCCTTTTGGTAGCTCTGAGGTAGAAATCATCCTAGGCCTTTCTCCTACCTTCTGGCATTTGCTGGCAGTCTGTCATTCCTTGGCTTGTGGCAGCACGATTCCAGTCTCTGCCTCCATTGCCACATGATGTTCTCCCTGTTTGTGTGTGTGTTTCTTCTCTTCTTATAAGGACACTTATAAGAAGTCTTACTGGATTAGGGCTAACCCTAATCCTTGTGACCTCATCTTAACTTGATTACATCTAGGAAGACCCTATTTCCAAATAAGGCCACATTCATGGTATCAGGGGTTAAGACTTCAACGTATATTTCTAGAGGACACAATTCAATTTACCACACTTTTAGTCTGGATGTCTTTTATTTCTTTTGCTTACCTAATTACCCTGGCTAGAACTTTTCAGCACAATGTTGAATAAAAATAGCAGAAAGCATCCAATCTTTCACCATTAAGTTTAATGTGGTTTTTTCACAGACACCTTTTTTCAAATTGAAGAAGTTTCATTCTATTCCTAGTTTGTTTGAGTGTTTTCATCATGAAAGAGTATTGGAATTTGTTGTATGCTTTTTCTGTATCTCTTGAGATGATTGTGTGATATTTGTTTTTTATTGTGTTGATATGATGTATTTATTTCATCGATTGGATTTTGAATGTTAAACCAAAAATTGCATCCCTGGGATAAATTCTACTTGGTAATGGCATATAGTTTTTATATGTTGTTAGATTCAGTGTGCTATTATTTATTGAGGATTTTTGTCCGTATTTATAATAGATAGTGGGCTGTTATCTATTATGAATCTGACACTAGATTCTTGTGTTATCAGGAGCTGAAGTCATGCTCCTCCTACGAAGAAAGCCCTCCAGCTAGGCCCTGCAGGGAGAGAAGGGGCCCTGTTTTCTTGGCTGCAGCAGTCTGAGGTGGAGTCTCTACCTCCCTGAGCTGAAAGCACGGAGGAAGCAGTTTTAGCTTAAATATCATAGACTTTTTGCCTTTGTCACCAAATTTTCTTCAGTTTGATTGAATAGATATTCATCTTATGCCCTTTGGACCATCTCCAGAGGCTTTAAATGGTTATTTTAAAATAAACTTTACCAGTTTCACTGGGGAGAGGGTCAGCAGAGCTCCGCATGCTGTCATACTGGATATAGATCTTGTAACTTCTTAATTAAAATTCGTTTAAGTTTTAAGCCACCTAGTAGCATAAAAATTTTGTGATATTCTTCAGATCTTAGTTTCCATTGTGTCAAAATTAGTAGCAGATATGACTAAAGTTGAAGGATCACGAAAAAGAAAGGCAGATGCACTCTGCAATATGATCAGTTAAAATTTTCCTGAAATACAAGGAAAAGGTAAAATAAAGAGCGAGAGATGAAAGAATTTAGCTTTTAAATTGTATCTGTTCTTGTTTATGAAATTTTATGAATAATTATATAAATTTTATGAATAAATACAAGTTAGGGAAGAAAAAGTTTCTAGTCCATTGTAATCAAAAGCATTGAAAGACCTGTAAAATGCAGGGCTTCTTGAGATTCAGAACATCTATTTGGGAAAATACATGAAGATATTACTTTTCTTTTCCTCTTTTAGGATATGACCACAGGTGAACATATCCAAGATGAAACAGGTAACTAACTGTTAATAAGAAGACTGCTAAAAATACTTGGTTAACAACAACTAGCACAGTGATTTAATTTAGTAGTGGTGGTAGTAAATGAGTTGGTTTGCTGGAGAGTTGAATGGAAAGATCCAGCAGCTGAATGTTATCTTGAGGGGAAATTTGGGTTCTTGCAAGGCTACTGTAGAGAGTGATTAAATGTTTGATAAAGGAGTATTCATTTTCCTCTGGTATGCAGAGGTGTGATATTTCCTTTGAAGAAACTAAATTATTTAAGGGTTGGGAGGCATTTTAATGAGTAAATGTCAACACTTGATGCTTTCTTTGTTTGTAGTATATAAGTTGAACAAAATAATACCCTAGGAAGGGATTAATGGCACTGAGTGTTTTGAAATTTGTTACTAGAGGACAAACATCTGAATTAAAATTATTTTTTAATTTTAATTTTTAAAATTAATTAATTAAAAATTTTTGAGGTAATTAGGTTTATTTATTTTTTGTTATTATTGTTTTTTTTAATGGAGGTACAGGAATTGAATCCAGGACCTGTGCTTGCTAAGCACTGCACTCTGCCACTGAGCTATACACCCCCATTTTAATTTTTTTTAAACTGAGGTATAGTTGATTTATAATGTTGTGTTAGTTTCAGAATTATTTTCTAAGCAGACAAAGTTAAATTTCTAGGTTCATTCTTCTATTTTAATATTGGTATTTTCTCACAAGGTACCAATGATGGAAGCACCGAAGCTGCCATAACTTTACTGACAATGGGAGATCTGGTGTTGCAGTCAGAGATAAATACAGAACAGAGTCATGGTAAGAATAAAATATAAGTCCTACAAAAAAGAGAAACCTTTGAAATCCAACTTTTAAGTAATTATGTCCATATTTGAGTAATAAGTGAATACCTGCCTTTTATATTTGAAATTGGCATCACTTTGTTGTTTTTCCAGAAAAGGTAATATGTGTGCATTGATCTATCCTACTTACTTGGCCTCTAAATGTCATGGCCACCATTTCCAGATAGTGCACTTGGTTTATTAAGAATTTGTATTCGTGGAATAATTAATCTAGTGAATCCTTTACCTTTATCATCATAAACATCATTGGTTAACTGAGCTCATTGATCACTGATCACTTTCTACGTGTTTCTTTAGTAAAGGAGCTGCTGCTTTGGATAGTCTTCACAGTTACTTGACAGTCACATGTAGTGTGAAGGGACAGTTGCAGTCACTGAGATGCTTTAGACTATTCTGTTAGTTTGGATTGAGCCAAAAAATACGTCAACCCAGATTTTTAGTATTTTAGATTGATATAGAGAAGACTTTACTGTCTTCTTCTCTTTAAATATCTTCTACTTTAAGTACATTAAATGAATAATTATGTTAATTATGATCCTGTTAATTATTTTAATTGCTAATGAGTAGCCTGCCATTTATATTAGGTGTCAGAATTTTAGAGCCGTAACTATATATTTATCAGAAAAGTCTCTGATTTGTGTTCCCTGAAGGGCTCCTTTTTCAATGGCAGAGTATTGCATTGGAGCCTGTCACAAATGTCTAGAACATAAAATACAGGTTTTAAGAAATTGTAAATCAAGATAATCCTATCTTGAAATTCAGCTGAGGTTATATAGTTACTGAAAGCAACAAAAATATTTATTTTTACTTATAACAAAAAAATTTCAGTCTGTAAGAATTATTAAACTTAGGTCAAATCTCTGACATGAAATATGAGATCATAAATTTAAACTTGGAGACTAGAAGAGCAAACTTTAAAAATAATATAGTATTTAATAATTACTGAACGTTGAAGGGTTTATTTTACTTGGACATTTATTTGTATTGGGTCAATTTTAATTTTCTGCTTTTTTTTTGCAGTAGGAGTATGTGTACTTCCTGATATTCATTCAGAGGATCAAAGTCATATTCCTTTTAGCCCAGATAATATAAACTACAAAACTGTTCAGGAATGTCAGGAACCTTCTTCACCTGTCCATAGTACATCTCCATCATTAGAAGAAAACAAGATTGTATTGGAGGAACAAAGTACTAAAGAAGAAGTTGGTTTAATGGAGGAAGTAAAGGAGAATGCTGTGTCATCCAGGTTTATTTTGCTTTATCAAACTACTATTATTTTTTGAATTTTACAAAAGAATTATAGTGTTCAATTAATAAATATACATAAACCAGCCATCAGTTTGGCTAACAGCTTTGAGTAATATTTGTATAAATATAAAGTGAGCAGTGGTAATTTTTTATTCTTTAAAGTAAGGATTGGTGATTTTGATTTTAGTTTAATGGTTTGCATATTAAAATTACCACAATGCATGTTTGGAGCTTTAATGAAATAGTTTTATGTAAATATAGTTCCTGTTTGACAGACATAGTCCAAATTCTTTTCCCTTCTCAAGAGTTTTGGGTAAGTTACTACCGCATAATTTTAGCTTTGAGAAATGACACTTACGTGGCACCTGAGAAGGTGGCATGTAACTGTGTCAATTCAAGGTAGAATGTCTCAGTGTGAGAGAGTTCTTACACAGTTGATCAATTTCTCTCTCTTCCCATCTCTTTCTAGGACTACAACTTCTGAAGTGACTGATAATTTGAGAACGAGTATATTTGCCAAGCCTAAGCCAAATATGAAGAAGATTTTTGAGACCAGCAGTTTTGGTACTCATCAGGAGTTTCCTAGTTTGTTTATAGCCAAAGGAGAAGAAGTGGAAATTCAAAGAGGTAAATTTTATTGTTCCCTTGAAAGTTACGCAGCTACTTGACACAAGAAATTTCATAAGCATTTCAAATGGAATATTCAGTCGTTAAAGTTATTTTAACTATTAAAAAGTTAAAACATACAAAAAGTAGAATGAGCTATAAAATAAATACCCATAAATCCACCATCTAGTTTCAGTAATTATTACCATTTTGTTTTATTTACTTGATGAAATTTTCTCTTTGTATATATTTTTTTCTGTGTGTCTGTGTTTATACATGAATACTCAAGCAAATATTTCTTTTAAGTGTACATGCATGTGGCAAAAAATAAGACAGTACCGAAAAGGCAGAAATTTTAGAAATTCCCTCCTTCTTTGATTCCCAGTCCCCCAATCCCATTTCTGATGGCAAACTACTGTTAACAGTTTTTGTTGTAGACTTCCAGAAATGTTTCATACATGTAAGCATCTAAACAAGGTGTGTGTATATACATAGACAGATATACATACACGCACACACATACACACACACACGTGTACGCATATATATTGCTTTCAAAAGAACAAAAATATATGCATACTATACCATAAATATTGTTCAATGCTTTTTAAAATAACAGTTCTGTTGAGATAATTCACCATAGAATTTGCCCATTTAAAGTGTACAGTTTAATGGTTAGTATATTTGCCTTTAGTGTATTATAAATAATGCTGTTAAGAACACTTGATGTGTAAGTTATTGTGTGGACGTATGTTTTCATTTCTCTGGGTTTATACCTACAAGTGGAATTGCTGGGTCAATGGTAATTCTGTGTTTAACCTTTTGAGGAACTGCCAGACTTTTGAAAAAGTGTCTGCAGCATTTTATATTTTCACCAACAATCTGTAAGGGTTTCAGTTTCTCTACATCTTCCCAGACACTTGTTATTATTTGTCTCTTTGCTTATAGGTCTCTTAGAGGGTATGAAGTGCTATCTCATGGCGGTTTTGATTTGCATTTTCCTGTTGACTAATGTTGAGTCTCTTTTCATGTGTTTCTTTATCTTCTTTAGAGAAATGTATCTTCAGATCTATGCTCATTTTAGAATTGGGTATCTGTCTTTTTCTTATTTTGAGTTCTGTATATATATTAGTGCTTTCTGTTTTTAAAGATTAATATATTGAAAAAATTTTTCTGTATGATTGCAGAGTGCTCTTAATTTATTTTTCAGTGGCCTCACTGTATTGTGATGGACATGTTGAAACCCCGTCCCACTTCCTTTTCTACCTCCCCTCCCTGCCAAGGGCCCAGCCTTTAGGGTACTAGTGAGAACAGGAAAAGCAGTGCAAGTAGTAGGCTGCCTAGGTTCTCTTCAGCCCCATATATAGAAGATCTGGATAGTTAGCATCATCTTTTCCCTGTTTCGGGATTTCCTTTCAGCCAGTAATGCTGGTGGTTCAGTTCGTTAATTCATTACTTTGGCTTGAACAGTACCGAGAAGCTTTCTTAATGTGCAGGCTCAGGTTTTATCTCTGTTACACAGAAGTCATTTTCTTCCCCTTTGTGATATTATTCTTTGCAGAAGAGTTCTCTCCCCAACACTTCTCATAAAGCAGAACCAACCAGACCTCATATGTTCCTGCCTCTGAATCTCTCTTGTGTATAGATTTTTGATTATACTGCTATTATGATAAAGTATAGATAGAATTGCTGTGGCTATCAGGAGTGAAATATGTGCAGTGCAGAATCATTAATCACCTCATGTATGTTAAAAAGTGTAAGTGCCCCAGACCACCTTTCTGCCATGTGAATAAGCTTGGTTTTTAGATTAAGAGTTTGGAAGAGCCACTACCTAGTGATCTTTAAAGAAAGAATTATGTTTCTAATATGGCGATTATAATTGTACTGTTTTGGGCTATATTTTAAATGTGTTTTTTATTTAAGAAACTGAGAAAAATGCTTCTAAAGGAACTGAATTAGAAGATAAAAACCTTGAATCAGTTACAACAGCGGAGAGTAAGGAGCAGAGCAAATTGGCATGTGTACATAGTATTGAAGAAATCAGTATTTCACAAGAAGCAAGCCTAACTGAAAGGTAAAAGAGGAAAGAGGTCCTGGGATTTGGTTTATGTTCTCTTTCAACTGTAGCCATAAGCTATAACTGTAAGAATTTGTTCTATTGCATTAAATATATCTTAAAAATTTAAAAACCATTGAATTAGGTAAACTTTGACATACCCAACTCTAAACATTATTCTGTGGTTGTCAGCTTAATTTCAGATACATACTAATCTGTCTTGCAGAAATAAAGGTCAAGAAGAGGAATCTGGAGAGGTTCAGATATCGTCTGTTGCTCCAGTTGTTTCTTCTGAGACAGCGCCCCACATGCTTGGTTCGGGTACAGGTCCTGGTGAGAGTTCTATTGAAGAGCCCCTGAGAAAGGACTATAATGGAGACAGTGTGCTTATGCTTCATGTGCCAGAGGTATTATATAAAATATAATAGGGGGTGGCTCACTGTTTATTCCTCATTAAAAAAGTTAAGTTGTAATTTACACACAATAAACTTCACCCCTTTTAGTGTACAGTTCTTCAAGTTTTGATAAACATATATAGTCATATAACCAATACATGAGCAATTCCATAACTCCCAAAGTTTTCCAGTGCCCTTTTTCAGTCACTCCTCTCCACCCCTAGCTCCTGACAACCACTGATCTATTTTCTTTCCTTATAGTGTTGCCTTTGTAAGAATGTATTGTGATAGAATTTTTATTGTGTTTTTGGTCTCTGAAACGTAGAGATAAAATAACCAGTACCTAGCTTTGTTGTAAAAGCTTTGAAAAAGGAAGTGTTTTGTACACAGAGAACTCTTGCTTCTTAGCTCGTAGATCAGAGAAGTTCGTTTTCAGAGCATGTATTGAGATGTTACATGTCCAGCACTCTGTGAGATACTGGATATACAAAGTTGTGAGAAACAGACAAGTAAATGAATGGTTAATCTCAGTCTGGAAGGTTCTATGAAAGAGAGTTGTGTAAGACTCGATAGGAGTGGACGTCAACCCAATCCAATGAAATCAATCTCTGGGGGGACTAAGGCCCAGGCATTAGCATCTTTTTTTTTTTTAAAAAAAGTACCCCAGATTATTCTGTTGTGTACCCAGCAGAGAGAGAATCCTTGATCTGGAAGAACAAATATGAATTAACCGGTTAAAGGGAGAGGAAGATGTACAAAAGAATAAGTGTGAAACAGCATGACATGCTCAGGGACTATATAAGTAGTTATGAATGGAATGTAAATGAAGAAAGTGGTTAGAGATGAAGTTAGATAGGTAGCCTGAGGACAGATCTTAAAAGGAATTTATGACTTGCTAAGGAATTTGGGTTACATCCAGACTTAGGGGATTTTCCCCTGACCCCCAGCTTTCTCATGTTTACATTTTATTTTGAAGTAATTTCAGATTTAGAGAAAAGTTGTAAGAATCTTACATAGAACTCTCAAATGTTAACATTTTGCTTCATTTGCATGGGTACCTAGCTAAAGCATTATTCTCTTTCTCTGTGTTGCTCTTAATCCTGATAGATAATTTTAAAAAACTGAACCTTCAATGGTTCAGTTTTTTAAAATTAAGATGCAGATGCGAGCCTTCACCCACAAATACTCCAGCTTGTCTTTGATAAGTATAAGGACATTCTCTTACAAAGAAATAGCAATACTATTACGTACTAGATATTTGCATACTACCCACCATTGATGTAATCGCATTACCTAACATACAGTTCCAGTCAAGCCTCTTATATTGCATTTAGTTGTCATTTATTCTTACTCTTTTAATCTAGAGTAGTCCTCCTGCCTTTTTTCCTCTTTTGTGTACTTGACATTTTAGAAGAGTCCAAGGTAGTCTTACAGTCCAGGTTTTCTTTTTTTGTTGCTTCTTCATTATTAGATGCAGGTTAAACGTTTTTGGGCAAGAATACTACGTAAGTGATGTTTTGTTCTTCCTTTTGCATCATATCAGGGACACATAATATCACTTTGTCCCATTATTGATGATCCTGGCTGATCACTTGGCTAGAATGGTGCCTACCAGATTTTTCTCCATTATAACACTATCTTTTCTACTTAGTAATTTAGCATGCATTGATGATTCTTGCGTGAATCAATTACTGACATTGTTGGTTGCAAAATCAAAGTTTTATGATATTAAGCAGTAGAGAATTACAATCAGAATTGCATTTTAGAGAAAACAGTGTTTGCTATTTTGTGGAAAACAGACTGGAGGGAGCCATGCTGGAGGCAAGGAGACCAGTTTGCTTTCATACACATGATCCTGCTAGTAGTGCAGTGGCTGCTGTGATGAGGATAGAGAAGGTTGAGGGCTTTGCATCTCCCTCTCCTGTTACTTCAGAAGTATTTCATAGCCTGCACATTTTCCACAATTTAGTCTAAATTTTTTTCTGATATGTATATATATATATGTTTATTATGAATTTTATGAATCAAAAGTTTATTGGTACAACTAAAGGTTTTAAAATACTTGAAAAATTGTATATAGTTAGGTAAGATTTTGAGTTTTGAAACAGTAACTGTTCATCATATATTGTCAGGAAAACTTCGTAAAACAGATTTGGTCAACCTCACTCTTTTATTTTAATTTGTTATGGCAGTGTACACCAACTAGTATTCCAGAAGTCCAACAAAAGAATGTAAATAATCCTCAAGACCTAACAGGTAGGATAATCTGTTTCAGTAGTATCATAGAACCTAGTAGTATGGTTTGTAATCCCCATTTAACTGTGGAAAAACAAAGCAGTTCTTGTTGGTCCATGATAGCCTTTAAAAAAACGCAAAAAAACCCCAAAATTTGAAATACTTTGTGTAAAAGTTTTGTTGTTCAGAATTGTAAGTCTTCTCCATAGTGAATCATCTTTATCCTTTATTACTTTTTATTTATTTCTTGAGGGGGGATATAATTTAGTTTTTTATTCTTGTGGATGAGTTGTCATGAGACTTTTTAGAAATGAAATAAATTAATGATTTTCTGTTGTTTCATAGTTCAGTTTTCATTATTAACTTTTAAACTTTGATAGTGAATCTAGTTGCTAACGTAAATCAAGATGGTGAGGATGAACAAGCATTCATTTTAACTCTGGTGGAAATCCCAACCAATGCAGTGGAAGAATTTGCTGATACCACTACGCAGTTAATGCCAAACCCTTTACTGCCAGCACCCATATTGGTCAAATCAGTGAATACAGAGGAAAAGGAGGACATGAGGTAATGAATGAGCTTAACTTTTTGCTAGGGATAAAGATGCTTTATGAATTGAATAGTATTGATTGAGCAAACTTCACCAACATTATTTGTAATTATCTTGGAGATTTTTTTAGTAATTACGTGATAAGTTAGAGAAGAAATCATTCATTTTATATCTGATATAGATGCCACTTAAATGTATAATACTTTCATATGGAACTCTTTTTGGTATTTTAAGTATTTTGAAAGCTAACAAAAATTTAGCAGTCTGGATCATTAAGTGGCATCTATTAAAGGTGTAATTACTTTGTAAACGTATATATGTTAAATTGTGAAATAAATATACATTTGCAGAAAGTTGGAAAGAGTACTAAGAGGATACATTTTTGAATATTTTTGATACTCATTTTAATTCTTTGCCATAGAATTCTTAAGTTGTATTTTAATAGTCATTGTTTAAGATGTTTGTCTATCGAGTAACGTCAGAAATTGAAGCCTTTTATATTAAGAAAAGACATTTTAGACTAAAATTTAACTTTACTGATAAGGAAAACACTTTTTATACTTCAGATTTAATTCAGGATTACAGAATGCAAGTTACAAGCCTTTAAATATGAATGGAGCTCAAAACTAGCATTTTTGGGGCCGTGGCTATGTATATATTAGTTTTAAGTCACTTTGAAGTTTTTTAGCAGTTTTAATTGGAATAGTTCAGCCTTTTAACCTCATTAAGTAACTGGTTCAATATGTTTGTGTTTTCTTTGCAGTGTGAGTTTTCCGGTAACTTCAGTTGGTCAGAATGCCGTTTGTTTATCTAATTCCGAAAGAGATGATTCTGAAAAGCCTGTTAATTTGGACCTTGTATCTAGGAAGAGATTGTATAGTAGACTTGGTGAAAGTGACCATGTTCCTCCTGCCAAAAAAAGTTTGCTCAGTTCAAGAGACGATCGTCAGAAATACACCTCTGAGGTAAGAGAATTGTTAAGCAGGTGAGATGGCCGTATTACAACCAATCTATTTCTGTTTTTTTCCTTTAGACTCTTTATATAAAGATAGTTCTAATACTTCTCACCATGAGTATTCCAGATAAAATCGGTTTTGAATTTTCACTTGCAACCAGTTCCAGGTGAAAATTGGTGAATATTAACCAGGAAACGCATTCCCAGCTCAGTGTCATTGGCTGAAAATAAGGCTGAAAGCACCATAAGGATCTGGATCTTGGCTGTACCATTTAACAGCTGTGGGATCTTAGGCAAGATACTTTACCTTTCTGAACGAGTTCCCTGTTGTGTACGATGGTAATAGTGATATCATCACTACCATTATCATAATGCTTAAAGCTTCCTCTTGCTCTTAGGAATAAAACCAGAACTTGTAAGGCCCTGTATTTATCAGGCTATTTTCTCTGTCTCATCTCATCTTATGCTGATCTCTGCCTCACTCTCTAGCCATATGGCCCATCTATCAGTTTCATGAATGCACTGTATTCCTTCATGTCCCAGTGTTTCTTTTGCTGTCTCTCCTTTATGAAACATTACCTTGCAAAACATAGACTTTTTTAGCTCAATCATTAGTACCTCAGGGAAGCCTGACAGACTACCACAAGCTACTGTTGTAGGTTTTTGTTTCTGGTGCTCATCATAATGTACTACGCTATGAGGAAGTTAATTTAGAATCTGTATTCTCAAAGTGACAGCTGAAGACCAGTAGTCCTTAGATGATAGCAGACAACAGAGGTGGTGTATTCTATATCTGATAGGTAAAAAATGGTATCCCAGAGTAGTTATTAATTTCTCTTATTACGAGTAAGGTTGAATATTTTTTCATATGGTTAAGAGCCAATTGTATTTCCTTTCCTGCAAAGGGACTCTGTGTTCTTTACCCATTTTTCAATTGAGTTGTGGATCTTTTTCTCACAGATTTGGGGGAACTCTCTGTTTTGTATGTCTGATATGAATTGCAACTGTTTTTTCTCAGTTGTCTTTAGACTCTACTTTTTGTGGCTTTCCCATGCAGATTTTTTGGGGTAATTTTTTTTTTTTTGCAGGGGGAGGGGCAGAGGTAACTAGGTTTATTCATTTATGTAATGGAGGCATTGGGGATAGAACCCAGGACCTTGTGCATGCTAAGCACGCACTCTACCACTCTGCTATACCCTCCCTCCTTGGTTAACTTTTTTAATACGAAAATTTTCAAACATTTAAAAAGGTAGACGGGCTATTAGAGTGTATCCGTATGTACCAGGCATCCAGTTTCAACATTTTATCAGCATTTGATGCAGATTGTTTTGTTTTGTTTTGAAAGGATTTAATAATATGGGAAAAAGATCACAGTAAATTACTACATTCAAAACAAGGTCACCAGTTTATAATATGCCATTTAAAAAATGATAGATGTACATTAGTGTGACTAAAAATATGAGAAATATGTATAATGTCTCGGGCTTATGTGTGATTTTTATTTTCTAAACTTTGTTTTCAGCAATTTATAATAAAAAATTGCTTATGAAAAGCCAATGTTGTAATTTTAAGTTCTAGGATGTGCACATACTTCATTCAGATAGACACACAAACATTATTTTTCTGTAATCAGATTAATCAGTCTGTTTATGTATGGCTTATAGAGATTATGTTAACACATTGAAAGGCTTCCTTCAATTTAATATAAATTGTTATAGTGAATATTATCTATTTGTTTAGAATTTATTTTGGTTTCAAGAGCAGTGTGACCAACTTAATTTTCCACAGATGCCTATTCATGTATCCCAGCACCATTTATTGAATAATTCATCTTTTCTCCACTGATTTAAAATCCCACTTTTGTTAGATATTAAATTCCCACATATATTTGGGTGTGTCCCTGAACTTTCTTCTGCATCAATTCACCTATTTGTTCTAGGGCCAGTTTCATACTGTTTTAATTATTTTAGCTTTTAAGTGCTTTAATTGCTTAAAGGAATAGTCTCTCCCACTCCCTGGCTTAAGAAAATTAAGAATTTTCTTTCTTTTTCAGGTTTTTCCTAGTTGCTTATATCTTCTGAAGTATATATAAATTTTAGAATTAGCTTATTCAGAGCTTTTTAAAAAATAAAAACCCTATTGTTACTTGTATTAGGAACATATTAACTTGACAGATTAACGTAGAGAAAATTAACATAAAAATTATGATGTTGAGTCTTCCTATCCAGAAACACAGTATGTCTTTCTCTTTGTTTCAGTATTTTGTGTCTCTCAGTGGCATTTTAATCTCTTCCTCATATAAATCTGGTACATTTCTTGTTAGGTTACCCCTAAGAATTTTATCTTTGTTGTTGTTATCACTGAGTTCTTCGTAATGTAGAGAGTTTTATTGAATTCCCCTCCCTGAATATAGTAATTTTTCAGTTGGTTCTCTTGAGTTTTCCGCATAAACAGTCATATCATCTGCAAATATAATTTTAATTCTTCTCTTCTACTGTTTATACCTTTAATTTCTTTCTCATTTCTAGTTATTTTGGCTAATATAACTCAAAAAAAGTCAAAGTAGTCCTGATAGTGAAATATTTTTCTTATTCCTGACTTTAATGGGAATACTTTCAGTGTTTATGAAGTTGGATGCTGGCTTTTGGATTGCAATAGTTATATTTTATGGTGTTAAGAAAACATAAATCTTGGGGGAAGGTATAGTTCAAGTGGTAGAGTGCATGCTTAACATGCATGACATCCTGGGTTTAATCTCCAGTACTTCCTAAATAAATAAAATAAGTAACCTAATCCTCCCTGCACCCCCCCCCCAAATTAAAACAAAAAGAAAACGCCTGTCTATTAAATCTTAAGTTTTTTCCAAGAATGTATATTTTGAGACACTTTTCGTGTAAATTGAGAGATGATAATATTATTTTTCTCCTTATAGCTATTGATTTATATTAATAGGTTTTATAATATTGAATCATCTTTGCATTCCTGAAAGAAACTCTATTTGATTGTGATGTTTTAGTCTTTTGATGTGCTGCTGAATTATGCTTGAAATACTTCATTTGGCATTTTTGTGTTGTTGTGGAACTGGTTAGTTAATATCAATATTATTTTGATTTATAAAAGGCATTTTGAAGCGTTCCCTCTTCTGCTGTGCTCTGGAATAGCTTAAATAATAGTTACAATGTATTTTCCTAAATGTTTAGTAGAATTCCAATAAAACATGTCTGACCCTAGTGCTTTCTGGAAGAGTCAGGTTTTCTTTACTTAAAAAAGAAAGAAGGACATAAAATCAATTTTATTTGACAAATAGAGTTCTAATTTTTTTTCTTTGTAAATTTTCTTTTAACAGATGTGTTCAAAGGAATCAATAAATGTTCTGGAAGAAGCAGGTGAGTGAAATAAATTTTAATGTGACTGCATTTTGCTAAATACTCCCAATTATTTTTGATGCATCTTCTTTGAATTTGGGGTTGAAGCAGCCTTGTTCACTTTTCTCTAAGAATTATGCTTTTATTGTTGGAAATTTTGCTTCCCCGCTGAGATCTTGGATTTGGCACTTCAGTAGCCTGAAAAAGCTACTGTTATCCTGTAATTAATAGAAAACCACATGGCTATAGAATTTCCTGTGAAAACTCAACAACTACATTTTAGGGATTAGAAAAGTGGATATAAAGGAGTTTTAATACGGCCTTAGCTTTAGCCCAAGATTTGAAGGTGATCACTTTTTCATTTTGCTATTTCAAGAAATATTTATGGAGAAAGATTTTCTAAGTCAGAATATATTAGTACAAAAAAATACATTGGTACAACTATTTTGTGTCTGAATGCAGAAGCTGTTACTATAGCTTTTACCCATTATAATATTCCTAATAGTCTAGGTAACTCCACTAATTTATAATTTAGCTTACCCTTATTAGGGTAAGGTTTATGATAGAATATTATGGGTTTTATTCTTTAAATATTACAATTTAATTGGATATATTAATTTCAATATGCGTGCTTACCATTTGTTTTGTTTTTTTGAAGGGGAGGCTTGCAAGGGACAAGATAACTTCCCTACCTCTGGAAGTACACACGTAACTCCAGAACCTCAGAAAGAGCAACTTGAACCAACTTTTCAGAGTACTGGATCTAGAGCTTTTGATAAAATAACAGATACACAAGAAAAGAATACATCTCAGTTACCTCAGGATGAGAGAATTGTGTCTGATAAAAAAGAAAGAACTTGTGCTGCTTCTAAGTCTGAGCAAATGAATAACATTACATCGTCTTCCAAAACCCCACTATCCAGGTATCATAAGAAAATCTTTATTGAATGTTCTCTCCCGATATTTCTCTCAGTGGATAAATATAACCTACACAGAACAGGTGTAATATATGAATAAAGAGTAAGTCCAGTAGTAAGGATGGTGTTTTATAGTAGTGTCCCTCTGTCAGTAATGTGAAGGAATGGAGTGTCATCAAAGGAAATACAGTAATGTCGTACACTTTCATAGGACTGTTCCAGATAAATATACGTTCTATGTGACACTTAACTTTAAGTGCTGAATCTTTGACTTTTAGATAGAAAATGTTTAGAATTTGGTATTGCACACTTTCTTTTCCAGATTGTTCATGGTTATTATTTTGATAATTATTTATTCTACCATACAGTAGCTGCCAATTCAGATGTAGATGGTCTGAAACATAGATCTGACATCAGAAGTAGCTCTGGACATTGTTTTATTGAAGTCCCAAATAATGTGTGCATTTTTCTCTCTCGTGGCATAGCAGGGAGGTAAACCCTGGCTTTCTCCCTGCAAGAATTAAGTGTGAAATTTAAGCCCAAAGTCAGCTTCTCCCACATTATTTTCCTTATAATCTACAAGTGAGTCTTCTAGGTTATGGATAATTAGTGGCTTATTAGCAGCATGCAGATCATTAACATGGAGTTGGTGAGTTGGAGAGGGGAGGATATGTACTAGCCTCCACAAAAGGGAAGTGGGGAAAGTCATGTGTAGCTTGAAAAGGCCATATAAACCACAGAGTAAAGCTCAGCAGTATCTTTTCTGACTTTAGAGATGTGCTGAAATAGAATAGAAAATAGAGGGCAGCATCATGGGGGTTTGGGTTAAACATTGAGAAACAGTGTTCCAGAACAAGTTCAGCAAATTTTTTTTTTTAAAAATCATGTAGTAAATATTTTAGGCTTATGTGGACCATATGTCTCTGTTGCAACTACTTTCTGCATTTGTAGCACAAAAGCAATCATATATGTAAACAGATAAGTATGCTGTGTTCTAGTAAAACTTACTTACAGAATCAGTTTTTGCATTTGGCCTATGGAGCCTAGCTTGCCCCTGCTCTAAGGCCTTCCTACTCAAAGTGTGGTCCTGGGACCAGCAGAAGGGACATCATTTGAGAACTCACTAGAAATATAGAAACTCAGGCCCCACTCCCTGACCAGTTCATTCGGAATCTTCATTTTAATAAGATCCTCAGGTGATTTGTATGTACTTTTAAGCTTGAGAAAGTAATGCTCTAGAGTAAGCTTTGATCTTTGTCACAAGTATATGTCATGGCATAGTGTTATCACATGTGCCGTTTTAGCATTAATGGAAAGAAGTTTGTATTAAGAATGTTTTCCTGGATAGTCTTGAATATCTTTACATTTGTGTTTCTAGACCTGGCAGAAGACCCCTCGGATTTTTGTCTTTAATATGTTCAAAGAATAGTTTGGAGTCTGATGAACCTACTCAGGTTCATAGTAAAAAACGCCTAAAACCTCTTATACCTGTATCAAGACAGAATTTGAAAAGATCTAATCCACTCAATGAAAGCCAGAAAAAAACTCAAGAATCCTCTGATCTGCTTCCATCTCCAAGTGTTGTTAATACTCAATCTATGAATATTGATAGTACAGCAACTCAGGTATGTGATAACTACTGTTTGTTTATTTGTATAGAATGGGTTGGATATTAGACTCAACTAGGAGAAATACGGCAAAAATGGGCCATTTTTCACATTCATAGGTTAAGTACCTAGGAACAGAATTACTGGTCAAAAGGAATAATTATTCTTTTGACAGACAGGGCCTGATTGTCCTCCACAGAGATGATACCAGTTTCTGTTCTTATCAGCAGTGTATGAGGGGACTTTTATCCTCACACTAGCATATTATCGATCTTGTTCATGTTTGACATTCTTCATAGATTTAATGGACACATATGAGTGAGGTTGAACATCTCTTTATGTATTTCAGTCATTTATGCTTTTTCTGTGAACCATTTGTTCATATCATTTGATTTTTTTAAAAATTAGTTTTTTTCCATTATTGATTTTTAGAAACTCTTATAAAGAAAACCTTTTGTGATATAGGTTGCAGTTTTTTTTTTTTCCCTGTAGCATTTATCTTTTAATTTTTGTATATGGTGGTTTTCGCCATGCAGACCTTTTCTTTTATGCCTTCTGGCTCTCTTGTCATTTAAAAAGATACTCTCTCCTCCACTCTAGGATTATAAAACCATTTTCCCATGGTATTTTGTAGTAGAGTTTTAAAAATGTTTTTACATCTAAGTTGACTGATCCATCTAGAATTTATTTTGGTGAAGAATAGGTCTGTTTTGTGTGTGTGAGATGGTTATACAGTTATCCAACATTGCTTATTGGCTAATCCAACTTTTTTTTTTTTTCGGAAATACTGCTTTTATCAGATACTAAATTTCCATCTGCATGTGTTGGGGATATTTCTAGTCTTCTGTTCCGTTGATACGTATGTGTATTCCTAAGTATGCTAATTTTTTATAGGATTGATATGATTTGTGATGTTTCCTTATGTACTGGTCTGTTTCATGGATCCGTGTATTCTTATACTGGTCATTAAAATGTTTCTATTATAGATTTAATAATCTTATTTTTTTATATATGTATTTTTCATGGAAATTAGGGTAATCATGTGTATACTGTAGTTAACCTAATCATGTCTAGTATGTTTGTTGATTCTAATTTTATTATAACCAATGCTACAAATGTTTATCTTACTTATTAAAACTTACCTGTTTAGGATTATTTATTTAACAGCATAGAAATGAAATTACTGGGTCAGTGAGTATAAACATATTTAAAGCTCTTAATATTGATTGCTATATTGCTTTTCAAACAAATATCAATTTGGGATACCATTATCAATATATAAATGTTATATTGCATATTTATTTATTTTTTACCTTTTCAGGTTTCTTGTAATAGTCCCTTACCGAAAGAAGAATGTAAAAGTAGCCAAAACCGGATACCTGAAGAGGAGCCAACCACAGTCTCTGAATATTTCTTTAGTGATATCTTTATTGAAGTGGATGAAACAGAATGAAAGTCTTTTTTTTTTCCCCCCCTTTTTTTTAAGTCTAGGATTTCCAGAATCAACAAAGCAGTATTTAGAAAAAAGCATCACTGGCTGTTTATCTTTAGGTTGTTTTTGATATTTAATGGGCTTGATTTGAAGCTTTTATAATCAGTGAAAGACATTGCTGAGGTTCCTTTCATTCTGATTAATTCAGCATTTTGGAAGTACCAAGCAATTAAGACTGCTTTCCCAGACAGAAATAACAACTCTTGTTTACATGTTGACTCTTCTTGTGCTGAACATACATGGACATCTTGAAATGTCATGGATAAACGTCTCTGTATAAATCACAGTACCGATGTATTTGGAGGTGGATTGTATTTAACATTTGGTGGGCTTCTTTTGTGAAGGTTTTTTTCCTCTTTGTTTAGGGTTTTTTGTTTTGGGTTTTTGTTTTTGTTTTTTTGTTTTTTGGGTTTGTTCTGGATGGTGAAAGCCTTTTCAGTTGCCTCTAAGTATATGAAAGCAAATTGTGAAACTCACTTTAGTATGGTAAATGTTAAAAGCTTTTCTATTATCAGCTATTTGACCGAAAAATGTGTATTTTTCTAATTCATGTTGATGTAACATTAGTCCTAATTGAAGAACTAGTATTTAAACTTAAACTTATTATTTATAAAGATAAAACATCAAAAAGCTTATTTATTTTTAAATTTTTTATTTTAAAGAATATTCATTTTTATTTTTACCCCTCAGATTATGGGTAAAGAAGGCATTAATAAATTTGTTTGTCTCCTTTCCCTCTTTAATTTTTAAGATATTTAAAGTGATATAACAAAAAGTGTTTGGATAGTGTATATGTTTTGAATACATTTTTTCCTTGTAGTTTAGCATATTGACTTTGTACTGTGAATTTTGTTTTTCTTATTTCTTGGACAATCTCAGGATTTGTATGGGAAAAAAAACCCTTGACTTTATGAGGCGAATTTCCATACAAAACTCAATCTCTTTTACACACACATACACTCAAACACACACATTCCTTTTTTAAAAAACAATTTCTTGGTAGTTTTTTTCCCCATTAAATTCTGCTTAAGGAACACCTAGGCCTTTTTGCATTGAACATAATTGTGATGTTAAAAACAGAAAAAAAGATAACAGTAAGACTTTATTAAGTCAGTGAATATCATCAGTATGAATTTAAGGGTTGGTTTTAATTTTAAGATTTTGTGATTACTTAGGTAATTCTGTTATCTACCCATTTGGTGGTTTAAATTAAACTTCTCTAAGAGCAGATTTATCCTCTTATTTAAAAAGCTTCCTGGGTTGATAATACATTGGATCAGGAGTCAGAAACATTTTCTGCAAAATATTTTCAAGTTTATAGGCCAGATGCCCTCTGTGGCAACTACTCAACTCTGCCATTTCAGTATGAAAATGGCTACAGATAATATGATGCACATGGATGGATTGGGTTTTTAGTTTGACCTCTACATTAGACGGTTTTCTTACCTTAAGGTGCTGGTGTCATTACCTATGAGATATTTGTACTGAAGTTGTGAGTTGTGCCTAACAGTTAAAAACCATGTTGATTGCATTATGAAATCAGTATTTCAATTGGGAAACTATTTTAGTGTTTAGATAATTATGTTTGTAAATTGAAAAAAATGGTCAGTTTTCAGGTTCATTAGTAAAACAGGATATGGTTTGGCAAGTATAACAGTAATTCTAATTTATTAAAACAATTGATATTAGAGCATTTCTTATTCATTGCTTTATAGTGAAATTTATAGTTTAACTTTTTTTGTCATAAAGGAGGATCTATAAATCTGAGTGGAAATTCTCTATAGGTGTGCATTTATTTATTTCATGTGATTAACATGTCACAAGAATCATGGAATAAATTATTCATTGCTATTTTAATGCCCTGTTTTTATAAATTTTAAAAATTTCTGAGAAGCTTCTCTCAGTTAATGTTAGTTTGGGTGTTAAGTTGTCACAATTAAACTATTTTATTCCCTGTATTATATTACTTATTAACTCTGTTAATATCTGTCTCTTGTTCATCCACAATGAGTTAACTTTATGGAAGATGTTACTTACTGTAAAAAGGATAGTTTTATCTTTGGACATTCATTGTATTAGAGAATCAAGTCAGATAGCTCGGTTATTCTACTATTACATCCTTACAACTACTCTTGGAAAAAGAAACTTAATCAGTGTATTTTCCTTACAAGATGGACTTGTTCACACTTGTGTTTAATTGAATTCATGTAAAGATGATGTTGTGAAGAATTAGTATTTTATAAATCTTAAAGAAGATATAATTAAAGGCCTTTATTACTTTTTTTTTGACTTTTCCTCCTGAACAGTTACATTTTAGCAAGTGATCAACATTATGGTTTGTTTAAAAGCCTAATTGTTGGTAAATGGTTGAGGCACAGATGAAAATATGAATATCCACTGTTTACCACCATGTTCTTTGAAATAGGATGACCATGTATACTGTCTTGCTTGAAGAAGTCTTTGACAAAAAAGCAATATCTGTCATTGTAAATTTTCTTGTTCTAAAGAAAACAGTTACGTTCTATAGATATATATTATGTAAATAAAAGTTATTTTATATTTTTCCTGTTGTGTCCTTTTTCTTTTCAAATGACTTAATAAAGATATTAATATTTAGTTAATGAAAAATAGTTTCACAAGTACAGCTTACACTTCCTTCTGTTGCCAGAGAATAGGTTCTTGTCTCGTTCAGGAAAGAATTCAAGAGCGAGGCGTAGTAAAATGAAAGTAAGTTTATTCAGGGAGATAGACATTCCATAGACAGAGTGCAGACCATCTCTAAAGGGGAGAGGGAGAGCGACCATGAGGTGCAGAGTTGTTAGTTTTTATGGGCTTGGTAATTTCATGTGCTAACAAGTAGGATTATTCCAGCTACTTTGGGGAAAGGGCAGGGATATCCAGAAATGAGCTCCCCACCACACACCCACTTTCTGACCTTTTATAATCAGCCTAGGAACTGTCATGGCACCTGTCATGTGGGTGTGCCATAAGGCTCAAGGTCTACTGGAAGTTGAATCTTCCACAGTCTTTGTTCTAGCCAGTTTGTCCCGTCCTAAGTTGCTGTGCCATTCCTTCAGTGGTTGTGCCCTGCCCCCTCTCCTCCTGTCTCACTTCAATGAAAATACTGTATAACTGGAAGAATTAATCTTTTTTCTCATATGCATGCTGTGAAGGGTATTTTTTGATTTTGCAAGAATAAAGAATACACTTTCCCCCACATTTGGGACATATGTAGAGTTGCTTATTTTTTTGTTTGTTTATTAACTCCTTATACAATGAATTTTTAGACATAAGAAGTTAATCTTTCACTCTTTTTCCCACTTTGTTTTCTCTGTACAGAAAGACAGATGGGAAACTTTAGTTACGGATATACTATGATCCTGGACTTCTCAAGTGGATATTGGCAAAATCTCAATAAAAAAATTCAGCTGAGAGAAATATTTGTGGAAATTTTTCTAAATGGTAGTCTAGCCATTTCTCCGGATAGAAAAAATTTTGGTCTTGGATTTTGTCAGCTCATCCAAGAGCCTAGTATGTGGGGTACATTATTTAGTCTGCTTACGTTTAGGGACATTAAGTGAAATAGTCCCAAAGTCCTAAAAAAATAGTTGTTTTTACTATAATGATGTTGTAGACTTTATTATATCATCCAGTATCCTACTTACAAAAATCTACAGGAGATATTTCTCTTTGGCCTCAGTGCCAGGAATAATTGGACTTCTGTTTAAATGGTCTGACTTTCTTTACATGAGCTGTGTCAGTCTTTGTGTTTTCTCTTGCAATGCAAAGTTAAATCTGCCAACTTGTAGCGAGGTCAAGTTATTTAAATCTCACATTTTGTGTACTAAATGAGACAGGAGGGAAGGTGGCAGGGCACAACCATTAAAAGAATGACAACAGTTAGCACCAAGATGGTGGAAGATTCAACTCCCAGTATACCTTAAGCTTCAATACACACTCATTAAAATACAATAGCATGCTAAATGGTGCCATAACAGTTTCACAGGTGCCGGAACAGTTTCAAGGCTGACCATAAAAGTTCAAAGGGTGGGTGATGGCCGAGTTCCTGGGACTCCCATCCTCTTCCCCAAAGTAGTTGGGCTAATCCTCCCACCTGTTAGCATATGAAGTTACCAAGCCCATAAAAACTAACCCCTGCACCTCACACCTCGTGGTCACTCTCTTTCCTTTGGAGATGACCTGCACTCTATGTAGTGTATCTACTTTTACCTTAAACTAAACACCACCATGCCTCGTGACATCTCTGGCCTTCTGAGACGGCCTGCACTCTGTGGAGTATGTATCTCTCTGAATAAATCTACCTGCACTCTTGTTCTTGAACTCGTGAAGCTAAGGACCTTGACTTGGCGAGGCACATCCTAGGATCTCCACCAAGACCTGGGACACAACCATCCTCTCTTGCCCATTTTCCTGTATCAGTGGTATTCTGCATAATAACGTGCCCCCACACTTTCCTGCCCCTATTCACGCTGCCGGGCATTTATGGGCCTTTAGTATGAACATTTACTTTTGGGAAATGTTCTTGCATTATTGCTTTGATAATTCCTCTCTTTCATTTTCACCGTTCTCATATCTGGAATTCCTATTAATCAGATTTTTCAACCTACTTTACTGGTTCCCTAAGTTATCTTTGCTCTTTTCCACTTCTTCCTTCCCTTCCTGTCTACATTCTCATTTTTTGTTTTGTTCCCCTTTTTTGGGGGGAGGGGGAGAGAGTGTCTCAATTTTTACTTCTATTGGAGAAAATTCAAATGTCCGTTCCTTTTTAGAAATGACTTTGTTAGTCACAAAATTCATAGAAGAAAATTACAACAAATTTGCAGAATCAAGTTACAGAATATGTCATTCTTTGACTAAATTCATAATCTTGAGTCAACAGTTTTCTACAATGAACATTTTTAAAGCATAATTTCCATTTAATAAAGTACACTAATATTTTTTTTTCAAGAGCGAAGTTTCTTTATTTGATCATTTCTTACATTTGAAGTACTTGATGACATCCTTGGCCTGAGAATCTTTGTCATAGTCCTTAACCACCACACAACTGCAATCAACCACTTTATGGGTTTTTTTTTTTCCCCGCTCTGTCAATTTTACAGAGGCCTACCCATTCCCATAGTTTCTTGTTGTCATCAACCTTAATTAGGTTGGTTTGCTGCTCAGCACAAAGGGCCTCCACCAACTTTACATACAAAGGCTCATCACAGTTGGATGCAAGCATACAAAGATGGGCTTGGCGCTTGTCTAAGGCTTTGGGAGCTTCATGAATTCTATGTATTAGGCCATCGTGGATGAAGGCGGTCTTCAGCAGCTCTTTGCAGAGCACTAATGACATCCATTACACCTGCAGCAGCAGTGCCTACCTCGGCCATGGTGGTGGGTCACGGATGGAGCAGAATCTTGAATGCACCCCAGCCTCCGCCTCTGCGGGACTCTGCGGTGGCAGGGAAAGAGTAAAGTACACTGATCTGAAGTGTTCAGTTTGGATACTGACAATGCACACACCTGTGTAACCACCCCACAAAACAAATATACATTCCCAGCATCTCTGGAAATTCCTTTAGACCCTTCCCCACTGTCATCCACAGAGATTAGTTTTGCCTGATCCTGAACTATGTGTGTGTTTGTGTGTGTGTATATATAGACACACTTTATATTACATATTCTTTTGTATCTGGTTACTTTTGCTCAACATATTTTGGGGATTCATCCACTTTTTTAGCATTTTAGTAGTTTCCAGTTGTTGCTGAGTTGTACTCCATTTTATGTGTATACCACATTATATAAATATACCATAATTACCCATCCATTTTTCTACTGGTTGTTTCCAAATTTTGGCTCTTTGGAATAAAGCTACTATAAATATTCTTGTATAAATCTTTTTGTAGACATGCTTTTATTTCTCTAGTGTCAATACCTAGGAGAGGCACATCTTTTCTAAGATTTATTTCTAAGATAGTCTCTGATATCTTTATAAAGGATGTTTTTAAATGCTTATTTTTACATGTATATTTACTGTTGGAACAGAAAAACAGTTGATTTTCGTATTGTAATTAAGATTTTAGGGGGAGGGTGTAGCTCAGTGGTAGGGTATGTGCTTAGCACACATGAGGTCCTGGGTTCAAGCCCTACTACTGCCAATAAAAAGAAATATATATATATATATATATAATTTATATATGTATGTGTGTATATCTATATCTATATTTATGTATGTGTGTATACACACACAAAACAACCTAATTACCTCCCCCCCAAAAAAATTAAAAGAAAAAACATTTTTAAAGATTTTAACAAATGTATTTTCTATAACATCCATTCAGTCTTAAGTTTTCAAACTAGCCCTTGGAGCTATTAAAGCAAGATTTTAATACTATAGGAATGCTATTTGTTCTAAGCAAACAGACTTAGAAACTCAGTTATAATAAGATAAACACGATAAATATAGACAAGTAAAATTTTAAGTACGTCTAACATTAAATAGGTATAAAATGAAATTGATCAATGTAGTGCACAACATTAATAGAATGAAGGGAGAAAACCCCGCATGATCATCTCAACTGATGCAGAAAAGCAGATGACAAAATTTAACACTCTTTCCTGATAAAAACACTCAACAAACTACGAAGAGAAGGCTTAACATCATAAAAGCCACATATGAAGAACCCACAGCAGATGTCATACTCACTACTGAAAGACTGAAAGATTTTCCTGTAAGATCAGGAACAACACAAGTTTCCACTTTCACCACTTCAATTCAATATAATACTTCAAGTTCTAACTGGAGCAATTAAGTAAGAATGAGAAATAGAAGGCATTTAAATTGGGATGGAAGAAGTAAAATTATCTCTGTTCACAGATGATTTATTACATGTAGAAAGTCCTAAAGATTACACACACACACACATACACACACACAATTTTTTAGAATTATTAATAAATGAATTCAGCAAAGTAGCAGTATACAAAGTTCACACACAAAAATCAGTTGTATTTCTACACACTAATAATGAACAAGCTGAAAAGGAAATTACAAAAACTATTCCATTTAAATAGCATCAAAAAGAATAAAATAGGAATTAACCAAGGAGGTGAAAGATTTGCACAATTAAAACTAAAAAATTATTGCTGAAAGGAATTAAAGATATAAATAAATGGAAACATACCCTATGTTCATGGATTGGAAGACTTAATAGTGTCAAGATATCACTAGTACCCAACGTGATCAACAGATTCAGTGCAGCCCCTACTAAAATCCTGACACTTTTTGCAGAAATAGAAAAAGCCCGCCTTAAAATTAATATGGAATCTCAAGGGGCCCTACATAGCCAAGAAAATCTTGAAAAAGAAGAACATGGCTGGAAAATTCACACTTTATGACTTCAAAGCTTAGGACAAAGCTACAGTAACCAAGACTTTGTGCTACTGGCGTAAGGAGACATACAGACCAATAGAACAGAATAAAAAGTCCAGAAATAAACCATTGTATACGAAATAATTTTTGACAAGGGTGTCAAGACTATTCAGTGGGGAAAGGACAGTCTTATCAACAAATGGCCTTGGGAAAACTGGATATCTACATAGAAAAGAATGAAGCCAGACCTTTATCTAACACCATATACGAAAAATTAACTCAAAATAAACCTGAAACTTGAATGGACTAAATAAGATTAATTTTTTTCTCATTGTCCAGAGGATGAGAGATTATGAGGAAGCTCAGATTTGTTATAGGCAAAGTTTTAAAAGTACATTTAAATTGTAATTTATCACTATTAGAATGTTTTTGTTTACTTGCTTATAATCTGTTACAAAAGAAGGCACTTTGCCTGTTGTCCACTGTATCCCCAGAGCCAGAATAGCACCTGACATGAAACACTAATTATTTGTTGAAAGAATGAATAAATATCTCCTTTAAGAGTTTAATTTCTTAGGGAAGCTTAATAAGCCTGTTCAGTGTCCAGCTCTCATATGAGGATAAGCTTTTCAAGTCCCAGAATACCCTTTCTATCAGCTGGGGAAGAAGAAAACAGCACATAGAAAAAGAACTAAGACCGACCCCAAAGGAACTTAGCCTCAGCTCCGCTGCGCTGCGTCGCGGGAGGCGGGGCGACCACAGGGTCGCCCCGCCTCGGGGACCCTGCAACCTTCCTGGGCTCGCGATGGGACAGGCCTCGCGGGGCTGCGCCTCTGCCCCTTATTGGCTGAGTTCAGAGGGACGTAGTGCTGGTCGACCAATCACGGGCGGCGTGAGCAGGCACGTGCCGAGGCTGGCGTGAGAATCCGGGAGGTTTTGGGCGGGTTAGGGCTGCAAGGACGGTAGCTGCTGAGTTGTAGCCCGAAGCGTGGGAGTCGGAGGGGACCGGGGCAGGCCGCTCTCTCGCACTCCTTCCTCCCTCTGTGCCCGCTGCCATGTTGGCCGCTCTGAGGTTAGCGCTGCGTCCGTGCGCCCGCGCCGCCATCCCCGCGCTGCGCGCCTATCATGGGGACTCCGTGGCCACGCTGGGCACCCAGGCGGACTCGAGCTCTGCCGTCTACCAGGTAGGCTGGGTGAGCGGCCTGGGCCTGGAGGACCCAGCCCGAGTCAGTGATTTCTCTTCCGCCTGTCCACCAGTGCCGGACCGACGCGACAAGGCGCTGGCCGGACTGGGGAGCAGGTGGAGGGTGGGCACACTTTTACAGCAGCTGCTCTCTTCTCTGGATCCCCAGTCACGATTCTGGGACGCACTAGAGGGTTTGAAAAAGAAAACAATTAGAAATCAGATACATTTTAGTTCACTTTTAGCACTGGCGCTCTACTTTGTATGTTTAAAATCTCTGGTTCTCAAAACCTGGCCTAGC